CACACAGATGATGTATGGTATAATGAGTGCACACACAGATGATGTATGGTATAATGAGTGCACACACAGATGATGTAAAGTATAATGAGTGCACACACAGATGATGTATGGTATAATGAGTGCACACACAGATGATGTAAGGTATAATGAGTGCACAGACATGAATAGACTCATCACAGTACAGGGCAAATGGGACTGGAGTTGTGCGAGTGCACGCAGAGACACAGAAGGAACGCATACCAATACGTCCACACTCACAGCTCAGCGAACAAGGGTTTAGGGTTGAGAAACCCTAAACCCTAAAACAAGGTGACCTACAGTTCAATGCACAAACACGACACATCACACCCAAGTATTTAGTATTCGCACACATACGTGTGTGACCAGACGGCGCCATATGTGTGTGTATATGCACTTCAACTCGAGAATATGTGTGGGTATATACACTTCAACTCGAGATGACCACAGTAAGGCGAGTCCAAAAAAAATAAGAAGTGGACAGGATGGCGTGTCCTGAATAATAAGAAGTGGACAGTCGGGCACATATACACACCCAGTCTCCTCTTTGAGTTCTCTCAGTGCCGCTGTAGCCTCGTCTTCATCTTCATCCACTAGCCCTGCACCATGATATGAATATTCACATGAGTGTGTGTTATTGTTATGTATAGTCACATGAGTGTGTGTTATTGATATGTATAGTCACATATGTGTGCGTTATTGTTATGTATAGTCATTTGAGTGTGTATTATTGTTATGTATAGGCACATGAGTGTGTGATATTGTTATGTATAGGTCCATGAGTGTGTGTTATTGTTATGTATAGTCACACGAGTGTGTGTAATTGTTATGTATAGTCACATGGGTGTGTGTAATTGTTATGTATAGTCACATGAGTGTGCGTTATTGTTATGTATAGTCATATGAGTGTGTGTTGTTGTTATGTAGTCACACGTGTCTGTGTTATCGTTTTGTATAGTACCATGAGTCTGTGTTGTGATGTGATGTGTGTTGTTGCTATACATGCACCGTGTTAAGTGCAACGATATGAGTGCCTCTGTGCCCTCTCCTGCTATCATATGATCCAAGCGAACACATCGACCCGAAGTTTAGGACAGAGGGCTGTTATGCAATGCTACAGCCCTGGTAAGACCATGAACAGAAGACATGCGTAGGACGACACACACTCGAGTGCATGTCATTGGGAAGCAGTGCAAAAGTGCTCTCTCTCGCGCGCACGCACATACATGACTATATCATACATACATGTATAGTATATGTGTGCATACGTACATGTCACGTACAATAAACTATATCATACATACATGCATATGTGTGCATACGTACATGTATGCATAAATTATATCATACATGCATATGTGTGCATACGTACATGTATGCATAAACTATATCATACATGCATATGTGTGCATACTTACATGTATGCGTAAACTATATCATACATGCATATGTGTGCATACGTACATGTATGCATAAATTATATCATACATGCATCATGTGCTGTGTGAGCATTGCAGAGATGGTTTATGTGTTGTGGTGTATCATGTTCCCTGTCAAGTGTACGCGTCACATCAGGTGTGAGTTCGATTTAACTACACGGTGCTAAAGGGGGTCACATCAACTTAGCCACATACAAATACACACATAACACACACAACACAAAAATAATCACACACATAACACACACACAACAGACATAAACACACACACAACACACACATAAACACACACACATCACACACATAACACACACATAAACACAAACACACAACGCACACACAACACACACATAAACACACACAAAGACACACATAAACACACACTAGCACACGTACCAGCAGGCAGCTCTACACACACAGCATCGACTGGCGGTCGGTACTGTTTTATGATGACTGTGTGCGTGCCTGTGCGCTCACCTTCTCCATCTGCGGCGTATCTTAGCAACGGCAGAATAGCCACACCTGATTGGTCGAGAACAATCAATGAGTGAGGGAGTGAGTGAGTGGGTGATTCATTATAGTGTGAACAAGACAATAAATATATGATATGTATCATGTAGGGATGTACTAGATTGATCACATCCACTATCTCGTATACTTTCGAGTACACGTTAATATACATGTCTGCATCAAGACAATAAACACTGCGCACTTAAGACAAATGCTCTTCCACTCAATCATTCGTAGCGTATCCGTAGGTATAAACGTGTATATGCATTTACCATAGCCGACCCACCCACCCACCCACAATACAACCTCACACAGAAACACTCACACACATATATATAAAAATAACAACAATAACAACAACAACAACAATAATAATAATAATAAATATTATATATATTTATATATATATATATATATATATATATATAACATATATATACACACACACACACACACATATATATATACATACATACATACCTACATACACACACACACATATATATATATATATATCATACACATATATACCTTTATATATATATATATATATATATATATATATCTATATATATATATATAAATATATATATATATACACACACACACTATATATATATATATATATATATATATATATATATATATATATACACATATATATGTATATATATATATAAAAGTAGATACATGCAATACAAACACGTGACCACATACCGTCGATGTCGCCCTTTCTGGTGGTACGCTCTACACACTCCCATTTCCTCGCACGTCCTCTGTGGTCTGTGTATGACAGCTCACACAACTGCGCCCATTTCTGTTTGTACAGAACTTCCTTGCCAGTTCCCTTGAAGTCGAAGGGTGTACCGGACGACATAGTCTGAATAGCACAGTACAGGAGCGATGGTATAGGCTTAAATAACACTGTATTATGAAGTGATTACCCCCCGGCCTCGAGAAACATACTAAAGCACTACTTTGATAGCCATTTAAAAGATGTCGAGCGCTGTGCCGTGCAGTATAGTATGAGTAAAACACCACACGAACGGTAGCATAGGCTTGCACGATATAGTATCACAGAAGGATGTATGCTAAGGTGACGCTCTTTGCATGCGCAGGTGTCAATGTATGCTCAAGTGACAGTCTATCGAATCACCAGTTTTCTAGATGAAATGATCTCAACTGACCAGCATATAAGTAGCTGCATGGGCTTGGGTCAAATTATCACAAAAAACTACACAACCAACCCCCCTTCACACCCACACACACACACACACACACACACACACACACACACACAC